TTTTTTTTTTTTTTTTTTAAGGAATTGTTTGTTGGCTACGTCACGTGAGGCGCGAAGCTTGTGTAAATATGTGCTGTGGGTTGTGCAAATGTGCGTATATATAGGGTGTTCCATTTTAATCTTTCCATGCAATTACCTTCGCGGTTGTTCAGTGTTCGGAACAACCGTTTGAAATGAAATTTGCTCAGTTTCAGAAAGGGAGGATCACTGGATTTACAGGTACAGGTACATTTCCGAGATCTCAAAATCCAATTTTCACTATTTCGCTCTGTCTTTCTTTCTGTTCGTTTTGTTTCGATTTTCCATATTGAGGGATACGGAATATAATCTAGCATCTCTTTCTATTTTATCTTCTTTGTCGAAGAACATGAAACATGAAAAACGCCGTTAAAAATCAAAGTTGGAAGAAATGGTTAAACTGGAAATTTACCAAATGGAATTGTATACTTTTTCATATATCTCGACATTTTTTATAAATAGTGTCAACCTATGTGTATCGAAAAATTATTAGTTCAGGAGAGATATTTCGATTTCAATTTTATAAAATTTACGCTTGATAAACCTTCGTCCTTTCTCGTATTTCATACGATAAGATTTTGCAAAACTAAAATATCTTTTAAAAATTAATAAATAAGTTCTATTTGTTTTTTCTTTTTCTTTTTTTTCTCACAATAACGAATAAAAGTTTCGAAGTTAGTTGCGTGAAAAAATTAAAATCGGACACCCCATGTGTACGCAGGCTTCGATCTAGTAAGTCGGTGAAATCAAGAACACGCATTATTACTGTCGTAATAGGGTGATAAGACTGGTGATATCTGGATCGTGTTGTTCCCTCTTCAGCCTCCAATCTCGTTCTCGTTATCTGGCGAAATAATACGTAGAAACAAATTGATGGATGATGATTAAGATTGTTTAAGATAATTTCGGACTTTTGTTCAGGAAAATGATCGAGAAAAATAGATAATGGATTTATTTGTGAAAAATCTATATCTTTACGAACAAAGTTGGTAATTTAAAAAGCAATGGATTTGTTCTAGAGGAAGCAAAGGAAACAAAATGGAAATTACTCTTTCATCTATAAATTTCCAAAACTTCGAAATTTTTTAAATTCTCTCATATCGAAGTAATTTACTTTGTAATTCGCAATTATGCCTAGATTCGTATCTTAAATTTATCAAATGTACATAATACAACGAATAACACTAATCTTTATTAAAAACCAATATAAATTTTTTGTAATTTGTAAATAATAAATAATTACGAACGATATCTGTAAATAATTATTTCAGTCTTCCAATAAGAAACTAAGTTTTATCTTAATATTTTACTTTATTACTAGTTTAAACACTGTTACAATGAAATTTATAAATTTATTTACACATTTGCAATATTACATTGTAATATTATTATTATAAATATTATTTATTATTTCGATCATCCAGCCGCGTTAAATGTCATATATTATACGTATATACTGGAAAAAAATTAACTTTCGTCAGAATTCATTGTAAATTTACGAAATTTCTATAAATATCTCTCTTCCAACAGATTCGATTGAAATGAAATATTAATGTCGTTCACTTTAGTGGAACGAAGATTGCTTAAACCTAAGTACGGATCGTTTCTGTTGACCTCTTCGAACGCTAATCCATTCTGCTTAAGCGATTTTATTGTCTGACAAGCGAATGTCAGCCACGTTGCTGCACATATATGTATATCGCGTTATATCGCATTAGGATCCACTTGCCACTGTCGTGTGCATCCACACATACAGAATGCGTGTTCACTTGTGCAACCAGTTGTCCAATGGCAAACGTAATTATACCGATGATAGAAGGAATCCGCATGATTCATGATTCTGTATGTGCATAGACGTATTCCATTAACTGTTTTCACCGCTCGAACATCACTCATGCATTTGATATTTAAATTAATTTTTTTGCAATTTACTTCTTTCGTACTACGTTGAACGATGTTAGTTTTGAACTTTACACCTATGATCTGTCCAAACATTATAAAACCAAATATAGACAATTTGTTGAGAAAAGATTCGAGATTCTGTTCAATTATATTGGTACTTTAGTGTTCAATTACTTGTTAATTAATAATATATTTGAGTGCACTATATTGGCTGAGGAAAATATTTAAACACATTGTAGAAAGTTCTTATGTTCACTATGTACATAATATAGTTGGAAATTTCATTAACACTATAATATCAGATTGCGTGATTATATTGGTAAATCTGAAATGTATATACT